AGTCAGCTCCCATCCCAGCTGCTATTACTGCTGGGCTGCAGCCCAGAGAAGCCTGCTTAGCACGGGGCGGCCATTTGGCTTCCCAGCCTTGATCACTTGAAGGAGTAAGACAGCTCAGGTCAGGAGAAAAGGACGGAGTGATTTTACAAGAGTGGAATTAGGCAGGCTCCTCCCTCCTCCCTCCTCGCCTGTCCTCTAGGGACAGTCTTGTTTCCATGATCAACAACTGCCATCCCTCAAGTATTTAGGGCACTCTACCTTTTGGGAACACAAGGGGGAGAGTTCTCCTTTCCCTACACCCAAACAACGAAGCTCCGACAGAGCCACCTGGCCTCAGGGAAGTCCAGACATCTACCTGGATCCGAAAAGTGTCTTTTTTTGCAGACTGCCAAGGCAATGCTATGGACAGAGGCAGAGGTTAGTCCCCAGAGGGGCCAGATCCCAAAGTAAGCCCGCACACCGCAAGGAGTTGAAATTGCAACAAAGTAAAGGTAATGTTCCCATCCTCTCCCACCCTCCCCAGAGCTTAGAACTCAGCAGTGTTTGCACTTCGGGACAGGTGAGGCGGCTCTGCTGGGAAAACGGGGCTCTGTCCCTACTGAAAATAGATGCTATGTCAACCAAGAAATGTTGAGCTAGGCAGAAAACCTGAAACCTGTTAGCACTTCTTAGGAGGTGTGGTGATAATTTACTTTTCCCTCCTGGGATTTTGTGCCTTCTCCCCAGGGGCTCGGAGAGCCAGTGAGGTTTTCTTCCCAGTGCCCTCCAACAACCATGGTCAGTTTGTGGCCGGCCAGAGGGCCGTGGTTGCGGAATGATCTATGCTCCTCATTCCGATCTGCTGGCTTCCAGCCTTCCATTGTCAGGCAGCCAGGGACTAAAAGTGGGCCCTGGTTTTCTGAAGACTGCCCCCCCCCTTTTAATTTGAGTTAACCATTTCCTGACCAAGGCCAGGCTCTTGCCTGTCCATTTCTGAGCTTGCCCATTATTGTTGGTTTTTTTTTTTTTTCCCCCAACCCCTCTTGCACTGAGCCTGAGAGCTCCCAATTGCCAAGGTCTGGTCTCCTCCTTTCTCTTCCTCTACTCCTGTACCCAGGGCAAGGGAACGGAAAGAAATGAACTGATTACCTAGCATCTAGGAGCAAGGCACTGTACTTCCTTCCAGGGGCCGGAGGTAGGAGAGACAGGTGTTCAATCCCAGCTCCACCACTTACTGGCTTTATGGCTGTTGGGCAAGTAACTGACCCTCTCTGTGCCTCATTTCCTCATCTAGAAGATAGGAATAATACCGGCACTTATTCCATAGGGTCGATAGAGAGGATGAAATGGGATAATAAACTGCCTTGCCCATATTAAATGACAAATAAATGGTAGTTACGATCAGGTTTTTGTAATTTCTCAATCCCAGGGAAGGCTTTCCTTTCATTCCCTCCTCCTGACATATTTTGCCCCCACCCTTACTCATGACGAAAGCCTCCCCATCGCAAGAGAGCACAGATTTAGACCCCATTCATTTACCTTGGGTCACCTTTGCTGAAATCAACAAACAAAACAAATAGAAATTCTATGATGCTGTGATGTGTCAAGCACTTGCAGGCACCATACAAAGCAGTGGGAGGTTGCCGTGAAGAGGGGCTGTACATCAAAATGGTGTCAAAATGGTTTTCCTTTGTCCTTTGCGCCTATTTGCCTATGTTGAAATATGCACAGCTATTTGGGCTGCAGGACGCAGAACCTGACCGCTAAGGTAGGTGAAGGAAGATAGTGCGGAATCAGAGCGAGGATGAGAGGCACTTTGAGAGAGGGGACTAGCAGAGGTTTACCTAGGGCAGCAGGCCGGGGGAGGGGAAGGCTGTTCTTACCTTCACCATGGGTAGGGATAAGCACAGGACTTGGAGCTCGCCCCACAGCAGCTAAGGTTCAATTCTGTGCTCACAGACAGTGAGATCTCCTAAGCCGGCCCTGAACTTCATTTATTTTTTAACAAGTATCAAGTGCCTGCTACATGAGGCTACGTGCTGTGGGGATATACAAATGGGTAAGCCATGCCTCCCAAAGGCAGAGAGCTTGCAGAATCAAGGGAATCGTGGCACCGAAGATTATAACACCAGGAAGCATGTGACGTGAGCCAGAAGAGAGCCATAGTGCGCGAGTGAGCTATGGGCATTCAGAAGGGGGTGGTGCTGAGACGGGGTGGAGACAATGGTGTGGACACTGGAGAAGGTGGGGCACGTAGAGAAAGGCCAAGGAAATTAAACTGGCTGGCTCAGAGGGCCCTTCTAGACTAAAGGCATCATTTAAAAGGGATTACTCACCCACAAAGCTCTTGCAACAAAATAACTATACCCTGTGTGTGTGTGTGTGTGTGTGTGTGTGTGAAAGTGAAAACAGAGTCTCTGCAAATATTGATAGAGCACATTGTGAGTTAACTCGGCTTCTCTTGCCCCACAGTCCCCTCCACCTCTGTGGTCTGGAATGCCCCCATTGTGGTTCTGCAAGGGCGAAACACCCGCCTTTATCCATCAGGATAGGATAGTTGTTTTGGGGGTGGGGAAAAAGCCAACTCATTTATCAGACAAAACCAACAGATATATGCTACCTTCAGTCAGAAGAGGCAGCCACCGAGGCAAATCTCAGTGGAGCCTTTAAGATGAAGACAAATACTCCAGGTGGAGGTGACAGGAATGTGAAATACACTCATTTATTCTTTAGGGGGCTGCGAGGGAGGGGACGAAGATCGTTTTGGCGGAATTGGAGGCTTGAATAGAGCAGAGTTTATAAAAAGGCGTCTTTTAGTTAGCCCACGCAAGATTCGACAATTTGTATTTGCCAACATTGAAAAATTGGGAGATTTTACATAAAAATCGGGATTTTCATCTCCCTTGAAAAACTGGGCCCACATTTCAAAATGGCATCCAACCCTTGGAGAAGAGGAGCTGGTCTTGCTTTGCCTCCACTGGCCTGCTTTATTCCTTCCTGCTATCGGTATTTAGATGCTAATCACACTTTGCAAGCACAGAGCAAGTTAGCTCTCCAGAATGCTTTGCAAGCCAAAAGCCTGTGATGGCTCAGAAATGCCGGTTTCCTGGCGTTTTTTTTTCTTCCTGTTACTGCCAAGTTCTTGTTGGCGTTTGATTTTGCAACAACTAATATATTTGATTTTGCAACAACTAATATAAGACCTCTGTGCAACGAGGGTGGCAAAGTGGGTAAGGGCCACATGCCAGGCCAAGGGGCAGGGCCTCAGCCTTTACTCTCTTGGGGCAATACAGAAGGACAGAACACAGGCCGATCTTAAGAAAATTAGTCTGGCAGGAGCCACGGGCCGGGGCTGGAGGGACTGAAGTGAGTACTGACCTTGGAGACAAGCTACCCGGTCTTAAATCTCAGCTCAGGTACTGGGCGGGTGGACTTGGGCAGGCTACAGACCCTTTCAGTGCCTCTGTTTTCTCATCTGTAAACTGGGCTTGATATGAATGGTACCCACCTCGTAGGGTTGTTTTAAGGATTCCTTGAGATAATGAGCATAAAGCACTTAGCACAGTGCCTGGTACATTAGTGCTCCATGCTTATGGTCATTTTTATTTATTTTTATTTTATCTTACCTTTATTTTATCTGTCAGAGAGAGCACGCACAAGTAGGGGAATCGGCAGGCAGAGGAAGAAGCAGACTCCCCGCCGAGCAGGGAGCCCGATGCAGGGCTCGATCCCAGCCCCCAGGATCATGACCTGAGCCGAAGGCAGACACTCAACCGACGAAGCCACACAGGCATTCCTTATGTTCACTTTTAGAATTAATCCTGGAGACCAATGAGAGGATGGCTGCCATAGCCTGGTTAGGAGTTAACAGGTCCTAGATTAGGGCAGGGACAGCGACTCAAAGAAAGACCAGTGTGGGAGGGGTAGGCACCAAGAACCAACTGGGCTCAAGGTTGCCTGGGGGAGGGGCAAGAGGAAGAGTCAAAGATAAATTCTGGCCTTCCAGCCTGGGTGACTGGGTGGTGGGGGCGATGGTACTGAAACGAAAACTCTGGGCAGCGAATTTCAGGGGAAGGAGAGGTCAGTTTGATACACATTAAGTCAGAGGAGACAGCGTAGAGGTGCTCGCCAAGATGGTGCCGCGCAGCAGGCAGTGAGAATTTTGGGTCGGGGCTGAGGATGTGGAGTTGAGCATGAGAAACCAGGAGGATGCCCAGTCTGGCGAGGGCAGCCTGAGGTGTTAAGCATCTCTGTTTGAACAGGGCTGGGGCCTCTCTTCGCTCAGGGACTGTGTGTATTCTGCTCGGTCAGCTGTGCCCCTTGGATACTACCTTTGTCCTTCAGTTTATGTACTTTCAGTTCAAATGCTGACCTGGCCCAATCCTGCTTGCCTTGTGAGTCTTGATGGGGTCAAAGTCCCCTGGGGTAGCGAGCAACAGGTGGACACTTGGTTTTATATTTGATGAAATGGAGACACCTAACATGGGCCACAGGGGAGGGTGCCA